TCGCACATATATAGTTGCTGTGGGCGGAGGGGTCATATCCAGTTCGAGGAAGTTTTTTCGAGAGTGGATTTTTCTTGTTTGAGGGACGCTATAAAGGAGAGGTTCGTATTAGCTCGTTGTTGGGAGAGGGGGAGGGGTGGAGGTCGTATCTGCCTTCCAGCCTGAGACTTTTGACTTACTTGTCGTGGTTTTTCCTCGTTTATATGTACCGAATACCCCCCTTTCCTCGACAGCAATATTTTCAAGAAAACTAGAAAAACGTTCGGTAAATCTGCAGAAAGTGGTATCGACGCAAGTGCTGCACAGAGGATAGGGTGTGGGGACGGCATCACTAGCCATATATCACTCGCCTCCAGCTTGACTTCATAGCGCTATGGCTGCTGGACAATTTTTGTGCAACGTTCACAACACACAGCCAGGCCATGTGCGAGACTTGTTCCAAGTTTCGGAATGTTTAATCTCTTCAAAATTAAAAAATGTCCACTTAAAATATTTTCTTACCTAACTGGCGTGCCCGCTCTCCGATTTTGTTCTCGATCAAGATGCTTAAAGCTTTTCTAGCGACGGATCCGAGAAGGATACGAGACTCTGAAATAAACTCTGTTAGCCCTGAAATCGATAAACAGCGGAGCATATACAAGAGTCTACCAGGGTTTACCATCTCCCCCCCCCCTCTTTGAAATTCAGTGAAAATATTGATCAAAGTTGATGATGTCCTTTTTCAGCATCTAGTTTTTACTTTTCTTATCAGCTTGCTATGAACCAGCTATTTAGAGGCAGTTGGCAGTCAAATCCCCAAGACGGTGGGACTAATACGCCCAGCAAGGCTGAATTCGGTACCACTGAGCAGGCGCAGGATGAGTTTGGCACATGCCAAACCCGTTCTTCACCAGCTATTCGAGCGTGCAAGTGGCAAGAGAGTGTCATATTCGTGTCTCGTGTCACGTTTCCCAACAACTGTTGTCGCGTAACTGCTTCAACAACTGGCAGAGAACGGGTTTTTCACCGTGGCACACTCATACTGCCTGACACGCCCCACCGTCCGCAGCGAACTACACTTTCTATGAGTACATGCGTGCAGCCGTACCTTCCATAGTGGTTATTGGTTATTGGCACGATGCCAACGGGAAACTCGTCCAAAATTGCTTTCTAAGTCAAGAAGAACGAAAGCTTTCCAGGTTTTTGACCGTTTCACTTCGTTTTTTCGCCATTTTCCCGCCATATAGCACCCTACTGGCGTTTTAGGCGGAGTGCCAAATTATCGTGGCATATGCCGTTGAGTCAACTAGCAAGGAAAGCGATTCCACGACACGCTATGAACTTGTTGTCGAATTACTCTGAAGTACCCACAGCACATCTTCATTCCCAATTTCTCCTCGGATTTTCTTTGTTATAGATTTTCTAATAACCTTGGGAGTTTAATGTGATTGTAGGTAGGGAGCCAGTTGAGCGACCGAAAAACCATTAGGAACGGTTAAGATGAAGGCTTCTTCCGCGATGATTGGATGGGTGGGGGCGTGGACATAAACACTGCCTTCCTTTCTCATTGGCACGCCTCTCATCTGTTAGAAGGATGAGCGCACCACTGCAAAAGCTAATCGTCATGAGTTCCCGCCACTCGGTAATCGCGGCATTCAGGCTTCAAATTAAGGAAATATTGAATTCGTAGGTTACCCCCGTTTGAAAATCTCCAGTTGTTATAAACAATCCCACCTTTGTCGAGAACAATGGGGAACGCTCGTATCTCACGATGTCCCTTCAACGAATGTCTTCATCCTCACAATAGGATGTCTTTCCAGATGAATTTCACATCAGATACCATTATGTTTCCGGCAACAATTGTATGGAAGCTAAAAATTGTGTATTAGGTGAAGAATTGGAAACTTCAGGAAAAATGTAGGGCTCTCAAAAAAAAAAAGAAATATATAAATATTTATAAAAAAAATAAAAAATACAAAAAATGTGAATATATGGCAGCGATTTGGTCATAATTATGCTGTCATAAATTGATGGTTGGAAGTACGAACACACAACATTCCCCACCAGAACCGCTATCTGGAATTCAGAGCTCTGTTAGCCAGTTAAAGTTTCAAGGATAGGTTTTTCGATCCTGCGAATCATTTCTTATTGTCATGAAACTCACACCGAGTGGGCCCCGAGAGCAAATGAAGAGAGATCATCTTCACTTTGCGAAAGAGGCACCATGCACTCCTTATCCCTGAGTCGGGGTAGGCGTGGCATTTGGGCATGGCATAGGATGGGTTACTCGTGGGATATTTCAACTCGAGACAACTGCCATCTTGTTCTATGGTGGACAGAGACATGACCACAATTGTTTCAAAATGAAAATATCTCACCAAAAGCACAGCCACCGCCACGTTTAGTTGAAGTACGCAGCCACGCCTACCGCATCTTAGGGATTTCGAGTGTACGTGCAGTGAAAGTGTGCAACCACATGCACACTTCATATACCGGAGTTGGGGAGGGCGTGGCTGTGCACTTCATTTGAACGTGGTGTCATATTCCCATTGTGAAACAACTGTAATCATTTTTATGTCTAACGCAAGACAGGATGGCAGTTGTTTCGAATGGAAAACTTCCACGAATATTGCATCTGCGCCATGTTCAAGTGACGTACACGCTCTCGTCTCCCTCCCCCCCATCTCTTTAACCATATCTCCAGAATTGGAAGTGTAAAACGCAGCGTTCCTCCCCCTTTTATGATAGGGGTTTAGTTAGCCAGGAAGTGTTGATGGCAGAATGTACAGCTAGAGCTCATTGCGAATAAATATCGTCATTGATTTCTGATAGCAAAAGGAGGGCACGGTCTCGTCCGCTGCGGATGCTGCGATCCCCCTCCCCCCATACCTTCAGAAACTGGTTTGGACGCGGCGCCAACTCCGTTATTCACCAACTGTAGAAGCCATCAAGAGACCATATCTGGTGGAAAACGGGTCACCGGTACGGCAGACCCAGCCTCCCTGGGGCGCCAGCATTCCGAGCAACAAGACTGCAAGAAGTCAAAAATGCATTCTATTCAAGGAAAGAGGAAAACGTCGCTTACATAGACCGGAAGGATGTGCATCAAGCTGACCATCTTCGAAGACGGATCACCGCCTACCGAGATTGTGTGAGTAACCGGACGCACAAAAATGGCGGCCCGACCTTTAAATTTGTCTTTTCAACAAGAACTGCTTTTGCGTCAGAGAAGACAGATAGATATGGATAGATGCACATTCTTGGAAAGACATTTTTTTCCCGTTGAACAGCTGACAGCAGTTGGCACGATAAATCCCCAAGACGACTAGGATCAATACTCCTGGCAGGATAGAATTCCGCGACCCTGGGCAGGCGCTGCATAGCGGTTTCCCCGAGGAAGGTGCCTTATAAGGGCCCTATCAAGCCACAACTTTACGTCCCAAACGCCCGCCACGCCCGCCCGCCCACAAATGGACGACCGTTCCTGACGCTCGTATTCATTTCATTTGCTAAGCAAATTATGAAGCGAAGGGATTGGTATGAAGCGGCCGTGATGCTGCATGCATACATGGGTACACATATGCAGCCGTATCTTCGGTAGCGGTGATTGGTAAAGATCCTACGGGAAACTCGTCCGAAATCGGTTTACAAGTCACTGAGAACGGAGGCTTTTTCTTCGCTTCACTTCCGTCTTCCGCCATTCCTAACTATACAGCGCCCTACTAGTGATTAGGCTAAAAAATAAGTAGCGAAACGCATCGTGCCCAACTGCCTCTAACATTCATATTCCTCTACTTGTTTAGCTGGTAAATGACATTGACAGTTCGGCAGCTCGCAGAGGATATGGCATTGATAGTTTCCAAGCGCTCACAGAAGATTACTTAGACTTGAATGAGCCACGTGCATCGAGTGTTTCAAGATATTCAGTCCGCATCCTAGCGGTGTGAAGATAGCTGCGTTCTTCATTTGAACTTGGCGACAGTTGCTCTTTTTGAGGTACCTTGCTGTTTTGATACAATTGTAATTATGACTATGTTCAGCTCAAAACAGGATGTCAGCTGTCACAATTGCGAATAACCGCGAAAAAAGCGCCATGCTCAAATGATGTACGCAGCCACACCCACCGAATCTTCTGGGTATGAATTCTGTTGTGTACTGTTCAAGAGTGCTCTGCGTAGCAAACGAATGAGAACCGTTGTTGTTTCAAGTTTTGGCTTCCTAACGAAGTCTCCAGCTTCAAAGTTCACATAGTTGTCAAATGTCGCATATAATCGACTGCAAAAAATGACCCCAAAAACTCGAGAAAAAATTAATGCAAAAACTTCGACATAATTTTGTGCCCCTTTCACGAATATGACACTCCTTTTCTGTGGCAGACACAATTTCTCGCCAATGGGCGCCTCTTTGGTGCCACCACTTTCTCCATCAAAGTCCATAAAATCTGGCAGAATAGGGTTGCTTAATGTCCTGATCGCGAATGTGACATTCTTTTTTCGACATCAGTGCCCATTTATCGCTCTGCTGAGGCGGAGTCTGGGATAAGGGGAGATTCGATTCCCGGTTTTGGTTTAGAGCACTCTGATCATCTGCTCACTCAGCCTTGACGGAGAGCATATGATCAGAGCGCTCTAAATTAGCGCTTGCGCCAGAAATGAATGTTATTTGTATCCGTAGTCAGGATGCAAAATAATCCTGAAATACGACTTCCTACAATTTTGGTGGAAAAGGAACGCCGAATCGGAGGGCGTTGACTCCAAATGGCGCCAGCGCCAAAAATGGGTACCATTTTCATGATCGGGCAACAAAGTATCACTTTAGACAAACAAATTCTGAGATTTCGAAGTTGTAATAATGGAACAGGGCCAAAAAATCACCATAAAATTAATTGGAAAGTGCCAGTAGTTTCTTCCAGGACCGACTCTCTCTTAATCTTGGCATGGTTTTGACGTCAAATTAGTACTGTACAATACTAATTTGCCAGTAGCTTGATCATAGAACTATGATAAGATAATTCTAGTCGTTTACCATAAATTACCTACAACTGCGTACACCCCTGGATAGATGTCCACTGAGTGGTTCGATCGTATCCCGTCAGGGAACAGCATGACCATCGACTCGCCCATCAGACGACCGAACGAAGCGCCGATCACGAACACGGGCATGAAAATGCCAGCAGGAATCGGAAGCGTTGACGACAGCATCGACAGTACAAACTGAACAAGCTGGTTCAAATATACATAAATACTCGGGAGGTACATATTTCTACTGAGAAAATATTAAAAAAGAATCCCAATGAATTCGCCTTCTCATTTTCCCTGTTCCTCATTCGAAGCCTTTGAGGTGGGAACATGTGTGGGCTGAATGCGTCATTTTTTGACGACCCCCTGCAATTCTCGTCATGGAATCCAGAATTGAGAAGAAGCTGACATATTCCTGGCGCTGTGACGAGAAGCCACGCTAGGGCATGTCATGGTACCTGGGCGAGAGAGTGCAGACAAGCAGAAATGACTTGACTTAGCCCCGCTGGGCCTAGTGGACTACCCAATTTAGCAGCTCTCATTTGTTCTGATCTATTCTACAAAATCACTTCTGATCCTAGCTAGGCAAAAGGACGAAGTTCTAGGACTTCCAAGGCACTCTCCACGCTCGTTCGTGTAGACGGAACGGAGACCCCCCCCCCCACAGTGCATTCTTCTTGCTGTTGTGCACCTTCTAAGCTGGAAAAGACGAGAAAAGTGCAGAGAACATGCCATAGTAATTGCGCGAAGCTCCACCTACACGGTGAGTGCGGAATTTGAGGAATGAATTTTTTGATAATGACTCACAAATGTGACGGTGAACGCTAGTAAGGTGTAGAGGACGCTTTGGCCACTAACAATCGTCCATTCTTCGAAGAATTCCGGTGGACAAGCATTTCTGTGCTCAACACCCATCGACCACGTGCAGTTCGCCAGAAACATTCGTAGCGTTTGTGAAAACTTGTGCTGAAAATGAATACAATTTGAGCAGATTCAGATACTGTATTCCGTCAGTATGTATTGCCTGCGATGGGTAAGCTATAGGAGGGTATTTACTTGTTGATTATGAATATTAAGTCTAACTTAGTGCAAAGGATGTTTTCGGTGAGAAGTACCTATCAAGGTACACCGAGCTCCTTATTCCAACAATAGCATTTCAGCAATAGCATTTTGGGAAATCCTGCGATTTCTTTTCTTTCATGAGGTCCCCACATCCTTTCCCATTGGTAGGGCCCCTCTCTGCGATCAAGCCCTCCATTCTCCCTCGAACAAGGCTTCCCAATCAGGAATCTTCAACACCCTTTGTACCCCTTGTTGCAATACCAACAGTCTTGAGTGGGTCAAAAAACGAGGATTGAAACTGAAGCTCTAAGACCTCTAACTTTCATAGCACTTGTAGCAGGATAAATTTCTTCAGAAGGGGAGCTCCTTGGGTTCGCTCTCTTAGCCAACAGATTGAACTGCTCAGCAAGATTGATCGTGCGCCGAGGACTTCGATGGGACCTTATCCGGCTGGTGGGGGAGGACGTGTAGTACATGGCCTGACGCGTAAGGCTAAAGCTTCACGATTGCCAGTTTTTCTTGGACTCATGTGCGTTCCTGCACCAGATGAGTGGAAAGTCTACTGCACGCTGCCTGCCACTCACAGCAGATCATAGATGTCTATCCCCACTCCCACAGATATTACATAGATCCGTATGGATAAGAAGAGGGGCCGTATTTATAGAGAATTTCCCAGAGACGCTACGTTTGGCCCTCTTGGTTATTCTTGAAACTATCACAGTACAGAAGCAATAAAACAACAACTCCCTAGAAACGTACCTGTCCCGAAAGAAACTGACCAGCGCCTTTGGGATAAGTGATAGCTGAGACAATGAAGGATACGATAACTGGATATAACAACCAGCTGAAAAGGATTGACTCGTTCTCACAGAAAACTCTCAAGTAATGATGTCAGTTAATATAGTCAGCTTACTTTCGTTGCATGATCGTTATTCCAATAGATGAATTGTTGAGCCAAAGTGTGAGAGCCCGATGGCATTTGATAAAAAGTGCACCAGCTATGCCGCAGATTAACCTGTAACATCGACATTTTACCGTTCTGAATGACCTGGGTTCATCGGGTTTACCAGACTGAAGGATAACAACTTTCAGATGGTCCTTATATTCCATAATAGCACTACTAAAGACCGAGTCTAAGTAGAAAGGGTACCAGAGGAGTTTTTATAAACCGTACTTGTCACCTTACTGCCTAAACATTTAGAACACTATTCCGAATATTCAATGATAAACACAAACCCGATCAATGCGAAGACTGGGAGCTCTTCGGGAAGGAATGCGTCCTCAGGAAAGCGTGTTTGGTAGTAAGCTGATACGGTAACTGAAATGAACTAAATAACTGGAAGTGTTGTGCACTACAGAAGGAGAGCAAAATAGTGCAAAAGTGCAAAATTATAGTGCAAAATTTGAAGAAAAAGGAAAGAAGCAGAGAAGTATTCCCTAATTCGTTCACCTTCTGAAGCTTTCACTATAAGCCGTACTATTCGGAATGTCGTTGCGGCGCATATCGCGGCGAAAAATCCTCTCCAATAATTTCTCACAGCGAAGTAAGCCGATGTCACTTCTATGGAGAACAACACGCCTGCAATATCATCTATATTTTGCTCACCTATCACACAGTTAGTGAAAGCTTTAAAAACGACAATAAATCAATAAATAAACATAGAAAAAATATGAACACGAAATTCCAGGGTACTTTGACGTTCTTGAAAAAGAACTATGGATTCGTGGATGTTTGCCTGTTTCACTGGGACTGTGAGCAAATTTCGAGTATCGGATTGAGTTCAACATTTTTTTGTCGACAACTAAATTAGCTTGGCAGATCAGTCCTTGGAATCAGATTCAATCCTCCTCCCTTTCACGTTCTGGTAAGGTAAGAGGGAAGTATGCCGGCCATCAAGGGGGCTGATCATATAGGTTGGAAGGAAAGTCCTGTCAGTGTTTCCTTTAAAGCTTACAATTTTTGATTCTCGATGCTTGAGCATGAGGTAATATGCCATGCTTGTAGAACATTCTGAGAGCTTTCGTGCAAGGTGTGAGAGGGCGCCTGCTCTTTCCTGGGTCTAATTACGATTTTAGTTTCACAGGAGCATCTTCGCGTCCTCATCTTCTACCGGTGGCCCTGCGGCACTGGAGTCACGGCGGCTGTGTGCGACATCAACAGTGCATTGGCGGAGGACACCACTACCATCAGGACCGTTCACTTTTGGTTCGCTCAATTCGCGAAAGGAGATACGATCCTCAAAGAACCTCGGTCGGGACGCCTCAACGAAGTGAAAGGCTCCACCGTTCTCGAAGCTGTCAAGGAGGATCCGGAGGCTACCACCCGCAGTCTTGCGACAAGACTCGGATGTACCTAACTGACAGTCGTCCACCGCCTGTAAGCCCTTGACTACCAAAAAGTACTGGCTCGATGGATCACCCATGCCTTGACCGATGGCAGGCTGTGCACCTGGGTACCCCTTGGTGAGTCTCCCCTTCTCCGCCCTTGTCAGAAGGAGTTTTAAGGAGACTGCTTAGTGGACATGAGAGATGGGTCCTCTGTGATTTCAACTCACACAGTACCGTGTGTCTCTCTCAAGGAGAAGACCCATCCTAGCAGTCCAAACCGGGCATGGTTCCGAGAAGGTTCTTCTTTACTGCTTCTGGGACGCGAAGGGAATGCTGCACAACAAGCTGCCCATATGAGAACACACGGTCATCGCTACCATTTGTGTCGCTCAGCAGAAACCCGTGGAAACTGTTGGAGAAAAATGACCGAGACTAGCTTCGGGGCACCTCTTTCGTAGTACGCGAGACCCCATACCTGCTATGGAGACCTACCAAATAATTGAGGAGCAAGGCTGGAGACCAGTCCCCGCTTATCATATTCTCCTGACGTAGTCCCCTAAGACTGCTACCTGCTCCGCCTCCTTAGGGCTTTCTTAGCTAAAAAACTTTCAGCAACTTTGATGACATCAGTCGAAAGGCCGCTGACTTACTCTACTCGCAGCCTCCTTAGTTCTGGGAGGAGGGAAAGGCTCACCTGTCCATTAGGTAGAGCACTATAGTGGCTAACTATGACGAGCATATTGTTGACTAATTCCCACTGTATGTTGAGTTAGAAAATAAAAAAATTCGACCCCCCCCCTCCATAGGAATTCCCATCGAACGCTGTGCCCTGGCTCCACCTTTCGCGCTGTCTTTAGAGAGACAGAGTTTTTACAAGGAGTGCGACGTTTGTCAGATAAGGTGAGCTCATCAGCATGGCCCAAATAGGGCCAAACTTTTTCCAGAACTTTCTCTTCTTGCCAACATAGAAATTGCGGGAGACTCGCCTCCTTCATGACCGCCAAGGGGGAGGACAAAAGAGGAAAGTATTATATGCAAACCAAACCATCAAAATGGGCGGATGCTTTTTTTTCCTCTTCTTTCACTACTGTAGTGTCCTGAGGGATGGTACTGAGAACGAGCCCCACCTGTCTGACGACTAACATAAGTGCCCATGAGAAGCAGTCCTGATGAACCCACCGCACCAGTTCCGTGGTTATGAAACTATTCACAGGATATCTCTAGAGCGACCACTACTTATTCACTGTTGATTCCTTTTTCTGTTTTTATGAAATATGCTTGCGAATTTTTTTTCGTAAGTACTTTTCATGACCTTTTCATCCGAATTAGACTTTACACTTGCTAGAGTTAAGCAATCATACCTCCAATGGGAGTGCTGAACGTACAGGCGACGCCGACCGCGGAGCCAGCAGCGAGCAGTTCATGGGACATCGACTCGTTCTCGTATGCTCCTTGCACACCGGTCACGAATCGCGACACTTGGCTGGCCAATGCCGAAGCAACGTGCACGAAAGGTCCCTGAAATTCTATATTTCAACACATTCTGGACCGCTTTCGTGCGAGTATGTCCGCATTTCGTCACTTTTTCATCTATATTCAGTAATTTCAATTTCTGCTTCTTTTATATACTTACGAGATATGTCTATTGCCTAGAAAGGTGTTATGATAACTTCGAGACACAACAGAATGCCAAGTAGACCTCATGAAGCAGCGCAGAGAGAAAAATGTATGACACACCATGTGTGTCACGCGGTCCAGAACGTATTAAATGTCTATATTCCTTGTAATCAGCCTCAAGGGCGTTACGCTCATGCCTCTAACAAAGCCTCACTCCAATTTCATAAAGTCGAATAGGGTACTACTGCTGTATCGAATACTGCTCCCAGAAGGGGGGGCATCTCGTATTTTTGCTAGTTTCTTTTGCTATCACATGTGATCCTGCTGAATTACACTTCCCTTTTTTATAACATCTGTAGCCCTCCTAAAGAGTAAACGAAACTCATGCTGTTGCATAGCTTCATAGGAAAGGAGGAAACGGCGTGATCTATGGGAATGCCCCCACCAAGACGAACTGAGCGTTGAATAATGTTAAATGTCTATAAATAATGGCTTACTGAACAAAACAAGATTATAGACGGAGTAGGCGCAAACTTTTCCCGCTGGAGAGTAAGAAACGAAATCATTTTTCGACTAACAGAGACCATTACTCTATGCCGTCTAATCCAGCAATATTTTCTGCGATTATTTTCTGCGATTCATGGCGTACATATGTAAGATTCTTTATTTACCTCTTTCCCTAATGGAAGTCCACTTCCAAGTGAGAGAGTGAGACCGATCATCTTTGAGATGAGCGTGCGAAATGACAGATATTCCTTGAGAATGAATCCACGCAAAATTGTCTTCATTTCTGGGATGCCCGATCCTGGAATGTTAACGGTACTCTGCTACGAAGATTAGGATATCATAAAAAAACCACAGGTACATATTCTGCTACAGTTTCCCTATGACAGGTACAGTACTCGCTAATGATAAGTCCGTTTTCGGGTTGTGCCATGCATTCATTTTCCATTTAGACTCGTGGTGAAGTTTTGATTATAATTTAGCCCACCCACACCATGGCTTGCTGAGGCCAGGGCACGCCATCGTTGAATGATCACAAGGGGGAGTCGTATTTGACCGCGAGGGAGGGGGGGGGTCGTATTTGGTCAGAGAAAAATTTTTTTGATAGTTGATTTCTCTTGTTTCACGGACGCTATAAAGGGGGAGGGGTCGTATTTGGTCGTTGTTGGGAGAGGGACTGCCAAAGATCTATACAACTACTATTTCCGACACTCCCCCGCCAGCTCTACAGCGAAATCTTGGGGAAGAAACGAAGAAATTTTTGTGCGACCTGTATTCACATTGGCGATGTATACTCCACCCCCCCCCCCCCGGCCCCTAGACGCGAAAATTTCTTGGCTTAAAAAAACTGAGAATTTTTGAGGAAAAATGGAAGAAGTGGTAGGAGGTTGGGAAAATCTAGGAGGGGGGGGGTCGTATTCAAGGATGAAATTAGGAGTGGGTCGAATTTTTCAGGACATGATCACAGCGCGACGGCGTGCCCTGGCTGAGGCACGATGATGTAAAAGAGTGAATCCATCTGCTCGATAAGACCGGTGCTAATCAACCAACTTCACGGGAAGAAATGCTTGGTCAGGATGAGCAGGCGTTTCTTGATTATTCATTGGTGACCCTCGGTCTTTCATGGGGGTATTGATAAGCTTGAAAGGAACAAGACTTGTACGTAATAATCGCGTTTTTGAGATGAGCCTCCCATTGTATTTACATTCAATATCGCGGTGGCTCATTGAAATGCTGAGCACTAGTTGCCTTTACTGCTCAAATAATCCGAAATCGGGCTAGTTTCACCGACCTCTTTTCTGCGTGGGAATCGTTGAAAAATTTTTCTTTGCTTCGAGATAGTCTGAACCCTCCTGAACTCGAATATTACACGCTCGACCTAAAAGCTCTTACCACTCGCGCCACAGGCGCTACCCCGAATCACCGGCGCCTGTTGCGCGGGCGCCAGAAAGTTTCGGGCCATGCGGATGTGATATCCTTACTCAGGAGGTCAAACTACCATAGGTGACAACATTTGAACCAAATGTCCACGGAGAGAAAAAGTCGCTCAAAAGCTGGCTCAATTCCAGATGGTTGGTTAAGTAAGGTGAATAGCGCCGAAAGCTGTGTGACCTAGAGGTGTTTTAATCCTCTTGGACAGATCTGATGCCAAATTGTCGGCCCTGAAGGAATGAAAGGCTGGGTTGGTTCAGGCGAGGACCATCCCATGATTTGATCAGCGTACTGCGTACGTTGTAAGGGTGCCACTGTTCTACAACATTCCGTGCCTCGGGTGATTCCATTGGGTGATTCTATATCTCATCTGATTAATGGTGGGACCAGGACCACGGAAGTGAGTGTATAGTTTGTCTTTAAAGGCACGGCGCGATATAAAACCTAGCGAATGTGCAGAAATATGGTACAAATTCGCAAGTGAACGCGTCCATCGAAAGAGAAAGCCAAAGCGAACGTTGAACGCATTCTTCAGGCCTCCTAGCCTCAAACAACTGTAGAGGTGAAAGACCGAAAAGAAAACGCGCTGGGGGGCGATTCCCGCCGGCAGATTCCCAGTAATGAACTCCTGTTAGGCTGCGTTTATACTTTGCGGCAGCGTAGCGTAGCGTAGCGCAGCGTAGCGTAGCGCTTCCAGCGTACGCCAGCGGCAGTGCCGGGGAGAGGATGCATATCGATCTAGCGTTCCCAGCGTCACCAGCGTCGCTAGCGTACGCCAGCGTTTCTCCAGCGTTTCACCAGCGTTTTGCTAGCGTTTGCAGCGGCAGGGAGTAGAGACTATGGGAGAGCTGGAGGGTACAAAACACATCGATTGCGCGTCTCTCACTCGCCCTTAGTCTCTACAATACACATCGCTTCTGCGTCTCCGACGGCCACATAGTCTCTACTATACACATCGATTCCGCGTCTCTGCCGGCCACATAGTCTCTACAATACACGTCGATTCCGCGTCTCTCACGGCCACATAGTCTCTACTCCCTGCCGCTGCAAGCGCTAGCAAAACGCTGGTGCCGCTGGAGAAACGCTCGAGAAACGCTGGTGAAGCTAGATCGATAGCTATGCTTCCCGTGCCTCGTACGCCAGCGTGCACGCTAGCGCACGCTGGCGTGCCGCTAGCGTACGCTGGTGACGCTGGTGAAGCTAGATCGATATCTATCCTTTCCCCGGCACTGCCGCTGGCGTACGCTGGAAGCGCTACGCTACGCTGCCGCAAAGTATAAACGCAGCCTAACTCTACAAGAGGTACTGAATGCACCCACTCTATGATACTTGCCAAGAGAGCATTACTTTTGGCTGGAAAAGCCCACTTTGGAGGCGGAGTCTGGAGGCGGAGTCACTGGAAAAAGGGATGTACCACCGAAGCAATTTGCGCTTCAATTCTTTATCGTACAACTTTCCGCGCGAAACTGGCAGCAGGATGTTCACTCCAAGACCGCACTATCTACCACGATAACCTCTTGGACATTTTCATAAGGTCATCGCGGACGCGTTCCTATCCAAGCTAACTACGAAGTGAAAATTCCGCATTCATGAAGCTTCAGCCTTGGGAGCTTTTGCTAAAATGGTGCACCTCGGAAGTATCACATCAAGAGGAACCAGAGGTGAAAGCTTTGTCGACCTCGCCGAGCTTCTCGGATTTGATGGGTGGTCCATTCGTATACATTTGGGTACGCCGGAACGCCTAGTCCCTTCCTCTCCATTAGTAAGTCAGGGGCGCATAAGCTTTATTTCTACCCCCCCCCCCACTCATCGATCACCCAATTGCTTCATTTTTGTGGATTTCGCAATGTAGAGGGTCTGCGCGGGCCACCGCATCCCTCCTGTGGCGGTGTCAGGGTACAGCATTATGATGTGCGCAATGGTGGTGTCAGTACGACCCCCCCCCTAAAACAGGGTCTTGATCAGAACAACTTCCCCTCCCCAACAGCTTTCCTACATGTTTCCAGCTTGCTACCACTTTTCTTCGCCATTTCCCAAAAAATTTTCTACTTTTTCCCAAAAATTTTCCGTTGATCGGACGGGGAAGGGGGTGCCGTCAGCTACCAATACTACTTTCAACTATCGGAAATAGTATCATATAGAAATGTGGTGGGGCGCCCAGGGCACATCATTGGTTGGGTTAGCAGATGTGAAACAGGAAAGTCAACAATAAATAATAATAAATAACAAATAACAATAAATAACGATAAATACGACCCTCCCTTTACCAATTTTCAGATTTTTCCCAACTTCCTGCCTTTTTTTCCAAAATTTCCCGGAAAGTTCAAAGTTCCCTACTTTTTCACGAAAATTTTGCTGTCGAGGGGGGGAGGGGGCATGTAGTACGCATGAAACAGGGAAGGTCACCAAAAGTAAACGTCCGTGAAGCGAGAAAAATCAACTATCAAAATAAATTTCTCCCAGCGCAACCCCCCTCCCGCGGCCCGCCCCCTCTCTGATTGGGGATTCGCCATAGCAACGAGTGCCCTGGTGGCGCCACTACTAGGGGGTATATAGCAAATGTGAGACGGGAAAAACCGCGAAAAGTCAACAACCGAGAAAAATGTTTTCCCAACGCGGCAAATTTTTCCTCAAAGGCATATAGACCCAGTGGCCAAGTACGACACCCCCCTCCCTCCTCCCCAGCAGCAAGTACATCCCTCTATGCGTTTCACACGCGACAGATGCTGCAGGACTTCTTGTGCGTGTTCTAATACTGTGTCAAGGTATTAGGTCGTTGCAAAAGAAATGCAGGATTTCGTTTTTTGTATTTAATACTTATTTTATTCCAATAAAATGTAAGTGTTATATATCATTCGAAAGCTTATCTAATGCTCTTTCTAAATGATACTTCAAGATTGGTTGTAATTCTTTTTAGAGGCCACAAAATCGTTGAAGGCGTTTTTTGACATCGTCTTGGTTTTTGAAGCCTTTCTCTCTAAGATAGTTGTCCAGATGCTTGAAAAAGTGGTGATCGGTGGGCGACAGGTCTGGTGAGTATGGTGGATGAGGCAGAGTTTCATAGCCCAATCCGTTTATTTTCTGGAGGGTAAATTGTGCAAAGTGTGGTCGGGCATTGTCGTGGAGAAGAGTCCGGAATCGTGGAGTCCCTTCATATTGACCAACCTTGGCACATGCGTTAAGGCTTCTGATCACTTTCGTCGATTGTTGACCACTACTTCTCTGCGTAATTGTTCACTTCAGGGATTAGGAAAGCTGGTGATGGATGAGACCGGCGGCAGACCACCAAACATGAAGTTCATCTTCAAGGCTGGTGTTGCCACAGCGAAACTTCTGGAACCAACGTTGGACCGTAGATTCGTTGATACTTCCTTGACCCCAAACTTCGTTGATGTTCCGAGCTGTATCGGCAGCGTTTCGTCCTAGCTTGAACTCATAGAAGAAAATAGTGCGAAATTCACGTTTCGACATCTGCAATAAAATGTCAAAAAAATTATAATAAAATGAATTACAACCAATCTTGGAGTATCATTTAGAAAGAGCATGAGATGAGCTTCCGAATAGTATATAACACTTCATATTAAAGTAACATATTATTGGAATAAAATAAGTATGAAATACAAGCAAGCAAAATCCTGCATTTCTTTTGCAACGACCTAATATATGGGCCCATTTCCATCACGCCACCTCTATCCTATGGTTTGCTGATACTTGAAAGAGAAATAAACCTATGGTTTGTGGTGAGAAGTAGTGGGCGAAAATGGCCGACGATGTGATCAGTACAACAGCATAACCGGTCCAGACGATGAACGTATAAGCGTGATGATTATGACCTGACTCGATCACGTCAACC